TCTCTCTTTTAATCGGGTCATGTAAACCTTTATAAAGGGATAAGAGGGGAAGGAAGAGTTCAGAGCTATGCCGGAACCTGCCAGTCTCTCTGCATGGTGGGCACCTGATGCATATCCCCATTTTTTGCTTGCTGCATCATCTTGGACAAGGTGCTTAGGAACTTCCTGAGCCCATGTTTGTTATCGGTTTTTGTGAAGATTCACTGAGAAAGCACCGGGGATGCTAAATTTCACTCACCCTCTTTTTTTCTTTTTTTTTCTTTAAACTTAAATTTAAATTTTTCTTTTTTTTTTTTTTTGTGACAGAGGCTTGCTCTGTCTCCCAGGCTGGAGTGCAGTGGTGTGATCCCGGTTTACTGAAACCTCTGCCTCCTGGGTTCAAACAATTCTCCTTCCTCAGCCTCCCTGGTAGCTGGGATTACAGGCATGTGCTACCACGCCTGGCTAATTTTTGTATTTTTAGTAGAGATGGGGTTTTGCCATGTTGGCTAGGCTAGCCTTGAACTCATGACCTCAAGTGATCTTGGGAGGCCCCACCTGGGCCTCCCAAAGTGCTGGGATTACAGATGTAAACCATCACGTCCAACCTCACTTTTCTTCTACTTCTCCCTGTTAATAGTGATCTCTAAAAATATCTTTTTAATTTGCAAAGCCACGTCTGCCACATGTGATTAGCGAGAAGGAGCAGATTTCCTGCTAGAAGGTTTTGGTGGTTAATATGCAGGGTTGCCTGAATATCAGACATTTGTCTAAAGAAGTCTTACTATTAAATAACTATTCTACAAATAAGTAACAAAAATCTTTTGTGGATACCTGGTATTTTCAAAGCACCTTCCAAAGCATTTTGAGTTGTTTTACATCCATATTCTTATAGAATGGAGAGTGTAGAAAACACTGGTAAATTATCTATGAGTTATTTCTCTTCAGACTAATTTTGGCACTTTGTGTTTTAAAGGATAAAATTAAGCACTTAGTTATGTACCATTGTAAATAATATGCTTTGTTTCAAAACAAAATTGTATATGTCTTTAGGGTGGCATTAAGTCAATCAATAAGCAGCTCTTATTTCCAACATTTATTCTGATAAAGTTTATCATACATATAATAATTGCTCTTGGGCAGCTGTTCAGACAGTTCAGACTGTGCTAAAGTGTCTCCCTTCCATTTTCCTTCCTTAGTTCTACTGCCTAACAGCAGTCCATCACTGTGTTAATAATTTGGGGACCAGCCTCTTTCCTGTGCATGTCTATACACTCCATGTTTGGGGGTTTAGTTGTTATAGAATAGGTGTTTTCACCTAACGGTGTATCATGTACCTTTTTCTATGTCATTATCCACAGATATGAGACATTGTTTTTAATGGCATTACCCTGTGGCTTGGCAGGTTTTTGGTTTAATTTTTGCTTGTGTATAATTATTAACTTAAGGCTTTATAATAACTACAGAGAGTGCTTGAGTTTGGGTTTTTGTTTGTTGTTTAAGTAAGTACCAGCTGTAGCATAGAGTCAGCCCAGGATTAGAATTCCATTTCTACATGTTAGGGTTGTGTAACTGTGTTCAAACTGCACAGCCTCTCAGAGTGTTAGTTTTCCTGTTTGTGTAGAAATCTTAGGCAAGGATTCAAGAAAAGCAGAAACACAGGAATGGACCACATGGATGATGGACAAGTAAGAGCCAAACAAGATAGTGAGGCTTCTGCTTCCCAACATAGAAGACCTGCAGGGAGACACAGAACAGCGGGGAGTAACGGCGCTCTTCTGTGGCACAGGGGATGTTGTTGCTGTTTCACTGTGGGAGGCTGTTCAAGGAAAAGGGACTGGATCAGGGTGCTCTCTGTTTCCTCTGTCTTTAGGGTGGCACCAAATATGGTCTTTCCAAGACAGGACTTATCTTTGTCCCCTCAGTGTCTGGCAGGTGAACAGGCACCTAACACATTTCAAATGAATGAAAACATGACATAGACTTGTTTTCCTCCCTTCTGCTCTCTGCACTGTAGGCAGAAGGCTCGTCCACTGCCTCTTCAGGAAGCCAACTAGCTGAAGGCAAGGGAAGCCAGATGGGCACTGTCCAGCCAATCCCGTGCCTCCTGTCAATGCCCACCAGGAACCACATGGACATCACCACACCTCCCCTGCCCCCCGTCGCACCTGAGGTGCTGAGAGTAGCCGAGCATAGGCACAAGAAGGGGCTGATGTACCCCTACATCTTCCATGTCCTGACGAAGGTATTATCAAAGGGGCCCTGTAGTGGCTTCTGTTATTTGGCGAGTGGCCATTCCTATGGGTGTTTTGTCCTTTTGTCCTTTTTTGAGTCATTTTTCTATCATACTAATCTATTTAAACAAAGTTCACTTTCCGCTTTCTAAACATTGAATGCAAAATGAATATTTAGAACTGTAAATACAGTTTTAAAATAACTTGTGAAAAGTCACTTTTTTACTCCAGTTGAGTATAAAATATTTTTATACTTCTAATGAAATAATGCATCACATTATTTTATGACTTGTAATTTTATTTTTATTTCAGTTTCAGAATTTTCTTACACCACATTTGTGCTGTAGCATCAGGTCTGATGTCAGATACAATATCTGATTTCTTTATCATTTGTGCTTAGAAAATAATGTCTCCCCCTTTGAATGGCTCGTAGTACTTCATGTGTTTTAACTTGTTCATGACCTCATAGAGTGCAGTTTTAATAGTGCTAAGAGCAAAAAATGGAATGTAGGATTTTGTTAACATGTGCATAGTCAGAAAATGCAACTATCATTTTACACAGTGTCATAATTTCACTTTATTAGTGTCTTATCAAATGTATGCTTAAATATACATATATAGTGTGGCATCAATTGTTTTTTAATCTTGGTGTCTCAAATGTATCTATGTGTATTTAAATTTCCTCAATGATTTGTAGTCTTTATGTTGGCACTTTTAATCTTAGCCCCAGAGTTTAACAAGTTACCTCAGTTACTAGATTGATCCTGCAGAATTGGTTTATTACTATTATGTATTATTAACATGTTTTACTCAATACCTATACCACCATATATAATCAGACTTTTCTGTCTATTCTCTACAACCTATTTGTGGTCTGTAAAATGGAATCAAGAGATGCGCTGTGAACTCCTGTTTCCTGATACTCCTGAGGTGGACTTCAATTGTTAATTGACTAATCCAGACATTGCTTACTTTTATTAATTAAAGGACATGGAAAACATTTAGCCAGAACTATTTGCTCAGATCCTTTAATTTATTTTGTAGTTGTAATGCCTCCAAATCTCATCTATTATTTGATATGGGTATGCGTTTATAGTATCACTTTTCAGATTATGGTTGTAAGGTGAACATTTTATATTTCAGGTTCAACATAAATTATAAAGGGTAAGTGGAAAGTAATTGTTGTGGGGAAAGCATTTTGCTAAGTTTAAGGAACCAAAGTTTTGGGAAGACATCTTTCAAAATAACATGTAAAGAAATAACACTGATTCCTCGTGGGGCTGTTCGAAATGTAAGGTCCCCAGGAGCCACCTGTTATGTCCACACTGCTGAATCTGATGCGTGGGTAGTTGGTTAGATCTATATGAGACAAGTTGTACCGACATGCTTCCTTATTTCTCATGAATTTCAAGGGCAAATACTGATAAAAAATGACCGTGGTTGAGATAATTGTCTTTTCAGATTTTAAAATGCCACTTAATTTGTTTTAGTTTATCAGGGAAAAGTTTATACAACAATGCATACTATTTCCTATTAGCTGAATGGCTCTGGTATTAAATTGCCCAGGCTAAGACATTTACAGTGAGATGAATCTTTATGGTAATAAAGAGAACTCACAAACCGTCATATTATTAAGAAAAATATTCCCTAGATGAGAATGCTAATATTCATGTAGCCACTGGATTAATGAAAATGAAAGTATGGAGGGTAAGGGGAAAGATCAGTTTTGAAATTAAATTTACTTGAAAGAAAGAACAAATGTTACAAAGTTATTATTTAACATATACATATCAATTAATTTAATAGACATTGAGATCAGAAATGCATTTTTATGCTCTGAGTATAATTAAATAAAATTTATTGTACAGTATCTTGAGATGTATCTTGATGCTGTGAGATCCCTGAGAAAGATGACCACAGTATTTCGGCAACAATCTCAGCTGCCATAGGCAACAGCCAGTTATTTGTCTCCTGACAGCACATTCTGAGTCAGATGTGGTTCTTGCTGCATTGGCCCTGGGACATGAAAAAGGTGGAGTGCTTTTGTTTTCTGCCCTAGTGGCTATGTATGTCCTCACCTGCAATGAGACACATTGGTAAAGAAAATTTGATCGTTATATATTCAGGATACTCAGTTCTTCAGTTTACATGTAGGTCATTGAAAATTATCAATTATATTGCATATGACCATCCCGACTCTCCAAATAAAACTCGCAAGTTCTCAGTCTTTTCTATTCTGTTTATTGTCTGTTGTTATCTGTCTAGATTGTTTCAAAGACTTTGGAACATCTACATGGTTTTCTTTTGTTCTTAGTTTTGGATTAAACATAAAATAATGTAGATCTTATTTTGATTTTTTGAGCAAATGCTTTGGCCACAGCCTGCTAAATGAACTCTTCCTAAACATCTTCATGCAGGCAGGTTGTTAAGCAGTTGATTTGGAATGGAATTGCAATGTCATTAACTGGAGTTGTTACAGTATATTTTTGTGAGTGTATTGTAAATGCAACATGAAAAATGTGCAATGTTATTCTGCTTTCTTCCATGCAAAGGGTGAAATCAAAATTGCTGTTTCTATTGAAGATGAAGCCAACAAGGACCTGCCTCCGGCCGCTCTGCTCTATAGGCCAGTTCGTCAGTATGTTTACGGAGTCCTGTTTAGTTTGGCAGAAAGCAGAAAGAAAACTGAGAGACTTGCTTTTAGAAAGAACAGACTTCCACCAGAATGTATGTACTGTAACAATCCATTGTTTGTTTTCCTCGGTACCTCGTAATCTCTTGTGCATTTTCTAAAGCCTTAGAAGAATCATGACTGAGTTGACCCCGAGTGCCTCTGTGTAAAGGAGGTGGGCCATCATCGGGGCAGTAGGCCAGGGTAAAGGCTCTTAGCAAAGGAGGAGAAGCCACAGACTTTCTTCCTTAGTAACATTCCAATAATGATGTGTATTCAGTAAGATAATAAAACAGGTTTGCACTTTAAAGTGAATGTTGATCTGAAAGCAGACTTGAATTGCCGCCACTCTCTGTAATTACCGCGTCTTGGTAATCAGGACGAGTGTGTTTCTGTGCTCTGGTTTTCATGAGGCACAGATCTGCCCTCTCCAGAAGGCCAGGGTCCTGGAGAAAACTTCCAGCAGGTCTTTGGTTGGCCATGTTTGTGCTGTTGGAGTGCCACCGCGCATGGCTCTGCAGCTGTAGCGAAGGTCGTGAGACTCACGGATCGTCGCAGGATTGTGATGATTTGTCTTGGAGTCCTCTGAGACGTGTGCACTTCCAGCTGATCAACTCTGGGAGTCGGGGGTTAAGGTGGAAACACCGAAAAGGAGTGTTTGAAAAAGTTGGTCAAAGATGAGGTCAAAGCGTTTTTCTTTATCTTCTAGTGGGCCTGTGTGTAATATTTGGAGAAAACGATGCCTTTCTGTCTAGGTAATTTTATCTCCTAATGTAAGGAATGTAAAAGTAACTGTACATTTAGTTGGAAATATAGAAAAGATCCTCAAACATATAGTCTAAAATAAGAATATTATGAATTGTGGAAATTGTAAATTACTAGATCATTCTTTGAGCCATGGATAATTAGTTAGAGATTATTTGTCTTGTGGTGGGTCAATGCAGACCTCCTAAATTGGTGAAGCTCCTTGTCAGCACTGACTGTGTGCAGTACTGAGCTTTGGAACTTTAAGTTCATTAGATTTAAAATTTTTTTTTTTGCAATTACTATGACAAACTTGTAATCTGTAAGGCTTTAAAGTGAAGCACTTCTCACTACCCTTCCTCGGTGATAGTTGTCCTGAGAGTGATTGCTGAGCTGCTAGTGTGACTGTCACTGGCAGGAGGTGATGCTTGCTCTGCAGGGCTCTGAGCATCTCGACTCTCTGTCTTCGATGGCTGGAGATAACCATGTGGAACAATGAACATTGTAAATGACATTCTTCTCAAATGTTTAGGGCATCCTTCAATGTAGCTGTTCTCATTCTTTTCTCACATTGTGTGATCCATTTGCTCACAAAAGGATGGCATTTCTTACTTTGCAACATGGCTGGTCACTTTTCCTGGCCTGTCACTACTCTTCATTTCTCCTGCAGCCTGACCAGGCACTCAGAGCACCACCCACCTTTTTTTTTTTTTTTTTTTTTTTTTTTCCCATTTTTCCTCTCTCTTGGGCTTAGTATAACTGTACTGCAGGCTCTGTCTAGTCTCAAATCCTGTGACATCCTGGCTGCTGCAGCTCCTCTGTCCTCCTCAGCTTCAGAGCACTGCAATGGCTTTGTGGTAGAAGGTATTTTTTTTTTTTGTTTGTGTATTCTAGAAACCAAGTTACCTTTACACAGCAAACTCCTTCAGGGTTTTCCAGTGATCACCTCGGATTGAATAGGAATGGGTTTTGTGGGTTCTGTGCTGTCCCATGGAGTCAGGTATGACTGTCTCCTACCCCTCCGGTATTGGGCCATTTGGCATCATTGGTGTGCTGCCTGTCTGCAGCATGCATGGCTGGTGGTGCTTCCTATGCTAGCTCGCCATCAGCTGTCTTGGTCTAGGTTGGGAGGTCTCTGGCTGAGCCTAGGAGAGGCTGTCCTGTTAATGCACAGTAGGGAAAGCTCTGTGCAGAACACGTGGATAGTTGGGGGGTGGGAGGGGAGGCAGGGATTGTAGAAGCCAGGAAAGGCCACAGCTTTCATGATGTCAGTCTGCTCTGACCTTCTCTGAGCAGGCCAACTCCAGCTGGAATCAGAGGTCGCTGGAATGGAGCCATCAAAAGCAAGAAAAGGCAAGAAGGGTTGGGGAAGTCTGAAATGACTCAAGCGAATGGGGGTGCTAGGTGGAGGGAGGAAAGGGACACAGGAGAATACAGAACAGGATGGTGGCGGCAGGTGGCACTGGGTCTTCTCTTGAGACGTGGCTGAGATGGCCAAAGGAAGGCTGTATCTTCAAAGTGAGAACTTCCCTTCTCTCCTCCTCTTTCTTTTTCGGGATGGGAGACTGAATAGTTTGGTTATTGTTACATTATTTTTTTGACCAATGGGGAGGATTTAGTGGGGGTGAGGTAAAATTATCAGATTGAATAGGAAGAACTAGTAAGTTCTGATAAAGAGTTTATGTTAGTAGATGTAGGTGGGAAGGAGGAGCAGAGGCAGGAGTCCGTACTTTGGGGCCACCTTTGTTGGTGAAGGCAGGAAGAATTGGGGATAAGGATACCTCAGGTTTGGTTTGAGAAAGGGAGTCAGCTGGCACTGAGGAAAAGGACAGGGGCCCAGCCAGCTGCACTTATGAATTGATCATGGAGCATGGATATTTTCTCCACTGTGGAGGCTGTAGTTCATAGCGTAGTACTTCTTCAATGGTAAATGAGATTTTTAGAGTGACTTCATAAACATTTATGTCTATTGCTATTGTGTGTGTTACTCTTAGAGCAGGGCGCAGCAGACAGTGAAAGAATGAATAATTGGTTTAGGTACACACAGCTTATTGGGGATGAAGACCCAGTCTGGTGCATCAGAAAATTAAACTCTGTTGTGTGAGAGCGTGGATAAGTGCTGAAATGCTTTGAAAGGTCAGTGCTAAACAAATTGCAGTCTTTTATGCTCAAGTAATTTATAAACTTTGATTTTGACTTTTCTGTAGAAATGGGGGCTATTGAAGCTTTGGTACAAATGATGTTTCCATTTAGAAAGATGAGTGGAATGTATGGACCAAACTAAAAAGCAGAAATGAAGCCTTTAAGTAGGTGGTGCAGATGACCTTTGCCTAGACAGTTAAGACCCTACAACTTAAGTGTTTAGAAAAATGCATTATTACTATGCTATGACAAATAAAAATTTACTTCTGAATGGAAAATGTGTAGCTTTGACCTCTGAGTTTAGAAGTTGAGAGACCTTACTCAGTACTGTAATTTCAGTGGGTGAGATTTTTGTAAGCAGCTTTGGAGTATAGGTGTTTATAGGGAGCTGATAAAATTGAACTTGTTTTGTGCGTCAGTTACATTCATGAGGGGAAGACAAGCCTATAAAAAAGGTTTTTATGTCAGTGATGCATCTGTGATAATCACCCTAATTGGAACATCAGCTCTCCAGAAGTGAAATTTTTGTTTTGAGACTCTCTTGTGATTGTTAAGCCTGAATGCTCTCAACTTACTCAAAACCAACCTTGTTTGAGAATTGAGTAATGTGCACAGCGTGATCTATGTTCATGAGCATTGCATGCATTAAAATGCCTTTCATGTAACCTGTTCATTAGATTTTAGCTGACTAAATACTGATCCTGCTCAGGCCATTTATTTGAACTTTATTACTTGAAATATCTGTTAATTGGTTGCATATTTTTGTACTAATGAGAGTGCTATAACTTCTTGACACTCTAAATAGGACAGGAAAATGTTTGTGCCACAATGAAACTGACATCGAAAAGTCTCTCAGGAGTTCTTGATTGACTAGATGGAAAAATGATTGTATTTAGATCTTGTTGAAACTTGCTGTCTAGTCTATGGCCACTCTTGGACCACATATAGGTTGAATGAAATTATTGGCATAGTAGAAGAAGATCGATGAGCCAAAGGAGTCCTGGAAGGACATGTCCCTGTGAAGGATTGTTCTCCCCTGACCCCGCTTCCTTGGATTTCTGATGTGGTCTGGCAACCCAGCCCTCTGCATATGGGCTCCAGAGAGAGCCTGCTGCTCCAGTAGCTGGCGTGGCCGTTTATGAATGGAAAATCTGTGATCTAAAATAGCTTCAGAACCTTATCTGCGTAGATAAATGTTCCTGTTAATGGTCACTGTAACAATAAAGAATGTCTCAAGATGGCCTTCTTATCAGAGAGAACTATTGAAAAGGCAGGCATGTTGAAGTCTTAAGGGTTGCCCAAAAATATTTAATTGTCAGCAAATTTAACACATGTATTCATTTGGAAGCGTAGTCAGTGATTAGGGTATATGATCAAGTGTTCATAATTTGCAGTTAACATTCCTGTGATTTACCAAAGTTTCATTTTTAAGGTCACTATATGGTGAAAGTAGGATACTATACCCTTAAAAATTTTTAGCCCTTCTTCTCCTGAACTAGGTGATAGCAAAAAATAAAATAAAATAAATAAAAATTCCAACTATATTACATGCTGGCAGTTTATTTTCCACCCCTAAGTTCTGTAATTTCACCTTAGGAAATTCAGAAAGATATTTGCTTATCATGGCAGTATCTGCCTTGGAATTCTAAGCCCTGCCAGTGGTGCATGTGGAGAGAACTATTAACACCCAGGGGCATTCAGATTCCTGCAGACGTGCTCCACAGTGATAGTGGCACCTGCTGGTAGGGAGGGTGGAACCCAGGGACCTTTCTGTTGTTGGGCCTGGAGATGAGCCCCGGGTCTGACACAAGAACTCCTGGCTTTGAAGCTTTCATCTTACAAAAATACAGGTGCTGTAGTGAGTTTCTTCTACTTATTCCTGTGGTGGAGGTGGTTATGTGCCTCAATGGCTTTTCCTCCTTCCGGGTGCTTCTTGGTCACTCTCAGTCACTGGGGTTCTTCCTCTCCAAGGGTCAGTGGGAGGGGCTGCAGTGGTTTGAGGGCAAACAAGACAGACTAAAAGGCCTACATTTTAAAAGATTGTAGGGTAATAAGTATCCCCAACAATAACTGAAGAGCACAAAGTTCAGAAAGTAAAGCTCAGTGATTTGCACATTTTTAAAATTAGCATTATCCACTTAATAAAATTGGCCTTCGGCCGAGTGTCCCCCAAGGTCAGCGAGTGCGCGCTCCTCCTCTCCCGCCGCTAGGTTCAGCCTGGCCCAGCCACCATGTCCATCCACTTCAGCTCCCTGCTGTTCAGCTCGCGCTCCGCCGGCTTCTCCGGCCGCTGTGCCCAGGTGCGCCTGAGCTCCACGCACCCCGGTGGCTTCGGCAGCAGCAGCCTCTACGGCCTGGGCGCCTCGCCGCTGCGCGTGACCATGCGCTCCGCCTATGGGGGCCCGGTGGGCGACGGCATCCGCGAGGTCACCATCAACCAGAGCCTGCTGGCCCCGCTGCGGCTGGACACAGACCCCTCCCTCCAGCGGGTGCGCCAGGAGGAGCGTGAGCGGATCAAGACCCTCAACAAGTTTGCCTCCTTCATCGACAAGGTGCGTTTTCTGGAGCAGCAGAACAAGCTGCTGGAGACCAAGTGGGCGCTGCTGCAGGAGCAGAAGTCAGCCAAGAGCAGCCGCCTCCCAGACATCTTTGAAGCCCAGATTTCTGGCCTTAGGGGGCAGCTTGAGGCGCTGCAGGTGGATGGGAGCCGCCTAGAGGCGGAGCTGCGGAGCATGCGGGATATGGTGGAGGACTTCAAGAATAAATACGAAGATGAAATTAACCACCGCACGGCTGCTGAGAATGAGTTTGTGGTGCTGAAGAAGGATGTGGGTGCTGCCTACATGAGCAAGGTGGAGCTGGAGGCCAAGGTGGTCGCCCTGAATGATGAGATCAACTTCCTCAGGACCCTCCATGAGACGGAGTTGACAGAGCTGCAGTCACAGATCTTGGACACGTCCGTGGTGCTGTCCATGGACAACAGCCGCTCCCTGGACCTAGACGGCATCATCGCCGAGGTCAAGGCTCAGTACGAGGAGATGGCCAAGTGCAGCCGGGCTGAGACCGAAGCCTGGTACCAGACCAAGTTTGAGACCCTCCAGGCCCAGGCTGGGAAGCATGGGGATGATCTACGGAATACCCGGAGCGAGATTGCAGAGATGAACCGGGCCATCCAGAGGCTGCAGGCTGAGATCGACGCCATCAAGAACCAGCGTGCCAAGTTGGAGGCCGCCATTGCTGAGGCTGAGGAGCGTGGGGAGCTGGCACTCAAGGATGCTCGTGCCAAGCAGGAGGAGCTGGAGGCTGCCCTGCAGCGGGCCAAGTAAGACATGGCACGGCAGCTGCGTGAGTACCAGGAGCTGATGAGCGTCAAGCTGGCCCTGGACATCGAGATTGCCACATACCGCAAGCTGTTGGAGGGGGAGAAGAGCCGGTTGGCCGGAGATGGAGTGGGAGCCGTGAATATCTCTGTGGTGAATTCCACTGGAGGCAGTGGCAGTGGCAGTGGTGGTGGCATTGGGCTGAGCTTCGGGGGAACCATGGGCAGCAATGCCCTGAGCTTCTCCAGCAGTGCGGGTCCTGGGGCCCTGAAGGCTTATTCCATCCGGACCACATCCACCAGTCGCAGGAGCGCCCACAACTGAGCTGCCTCCCACCCCTCCGTTTCCCCAGCCACTGCCCACAGTCCCAGGAAGATTCCCCTCCCTGCCTCCCATGCCTGTTCCCAAGACCGCGAGACAGTCTGGAAAGTGATGTCAGAATAGCATCCAATAAAGCAGCCTCGTTCTGAGGCCTGAGTGAAAATAAAATAAAATAAAATAAAATTGGCCTTCGTTTCTTGCCTCCCATTTCTTATAAAAGTCTTTCCTAGTCCCTCAAAATTAAGTAAGAGAAACAGACTTATTATAAGTAGATAAAAATTATATACACATGAAATAAATTGATGGAATGAGGGAACAAGTTTATAGATGATGAGTACTATTTTTATGAAAGATTTTCCTATATTTATTCCTGTAGTTTTAAACCACCAAGAAAAGCCGAAAGGAGCAATTTTTCCTGGTCCAGTTTGCTTTAGAAATGTTTTTATTTGTGCTAATAATTGGAAATGCTAATAAAAAATAAGTCTACTCACTGTGGATTATATTATGAAGTAATAGTTTAATCAATATTACTGTGCTGATTTAATATGTGTGAAAATTGGTATTGTAAACATTTTCCCCATGATTTCTGTGTTAGTAAGTCTGTCTGAATTTCTTTATTCTACAAAGATTTCTAGGAGCAGCACTGACTTTTTTTCACAGAACTTTGAGAAGATCAGCACAAGAGACGATTGCTGAGGAAGCCAAGTGATATGACAGGCCAATCTGTAATATTACTCTTTTGGATTAATATTTATTTCATAAGTCCTCAAACTCTTTTTTTTTTTTTTTTAAACCAGTGTTACTTGCCAATCCTTGAACTTTTGAGTTTCTAATATAGTTGGAATAACGTACATGGAATGAGGAATAAGAACAGCATTGATCCACATGTCTGTAATACCATATTCTGCTACGTGTCCTGTGCCTTACTAAGCATTTATATTTTTGTGGACAGTGGGCTGCTCCATCCTCAAATATCAAAGGTTTAAGAAAATATCCATAGCCTTTTACCTTTGAGAATTAAAGAGGGTGCTTACCGATGTGTCACCTGAGGAGAAGGAGAACTCAACCTGCTACCTACATGCTGGGGCTGCTTAGAAGTTAAGGGACAGTTTTTCTGTTAGAAGGAAAGAACAGTCTTCATTGTGTCCATTTTTCTGTTCCTGCCCTGATATAAATGAGTTGGAGGTTTTTGTTGTTGTTTATGATCATAACAATCCCAGGAAAGCTCAGCAAGTATAATAGTGGCTCCTCCCTAAATACACACAACCAGAAGTCTAGTCAGCCACCATGTTGGAAGCCATTCATCTCTACACGTCTCTTCCTCACCTATGAACACGCGTGTATGCATGCTGCAGCTCTCTCTCCTGCTCCCTTAGTGGGCATTGCTAATTAATGGTGGTGCTTTGGCACTAAGCTTAGAGACATACTTTAATAATACAGTCTTATAGGGGGCCACTCCAGCAAGTTGGGATTGGCGTACAAAATGAACCATGTATATTATTCCTGTGCTGCTATAGATCCAAAGTCAGCATTATAACAGATTTCCAAGGTGGCTTAGTTGTCATATCTTTTTTTTTTTTTTTTTTTTTTTGAGATGAAGTCTCCCTCTGTCACCCAGGCTGGAGTGCAGTGGCACGATTTTGGCTCCCGAGTAGCTAGGATTACAGGTGCCTACCACCATGCCCGGCTAATTTTGTATTTTTTTAGTAGAGACGGGGTTTCTCCATGTTGGTCAGGCTGGTCTGGAACTCCTGACCTCAGGTGATCCACCTACCTTGGCCTCCCAAAGTGTTGGGATTACGGGCGTGAGCCACCGCACCCAGCCTGGTTGTCATATTACATGTGCTACTCAAAGAAGATGAGTAACATCTGATGGAACACATTGAGTTTTTACGACAGCTTAAGTACGATAGTATTTTATGGCTCCAAATTGTACTTTGAAGGGGTGCTTTCTGTAAGGAAAATGCGTTATAAGTTTAGCATCCAGTAACATGTCTGCCCTAGAGTTGTTTTTGCCAGTGTAAAAATTTGCTTTAGTGTAAGGTAAAGAAGACAGTTTAATATTCATTCTTTTAGAACTAGGCTACTTCCTGAAGTAGTGAATTTTTCTGATAGTTGAAAAGATGAGGTTAGTATTTGTTGATAGTGATACACAAGATTTATTCATAGGTCTTCAGCTAGATGAGCTGACCTACAGGAATTTCTTACTGTTTTAATAAGACACAGTAGGAACATGTTTCTCTTCAAAACTACCAGTACAGAGTTCCATTTTACACCACCATGCTTTCTCTAACTCCCAGATGGTACCCACCCAGGATGTGCTGGAGCCCAATGCCATGGGCAAGCCCACATACCCACAGGTTTCTGTAAAGACTCGAGTACCTTGCTGTGAGCTGGCTACTTTTATTTGCTTATTTCCTCTGGGTTGAGTAATACCAGGAGGGCTGAGAAGCCCAGAGAGAAGAGCAGCAGGTGCTCCCATCTCTAGTGGCTGTCCTTCAGCTGCCCTTTTGCAGGTGGTTTATAAAGCAGAACCAAGCTTTCTTCTTTCCTCAACTCCTTCCACCTTTGAGGGTGCTGCGTCAACCTGAAAATTGGATATCCCTTGGAATTCTTCATAAGCACTAATTTTTAATTAATGTAAGTAATGTATAAAACCTGAATCAATCTCACACAGTTTTCGCTACATAATGAGAGGCGCTAGGTGCTTTTTATATTTAATCATCAGAACTGTATTGCAAAGTTAGTTGTGACCTCTTATCTTAGTCCTGGATCTAGGCCAGGGTCTGAGAACTCAAGGAGACCCTCCTTTTCAGGCACACACCCATGCAGATTGCCCCCCTCTCCCTTGCCACAGCCCTACGTGGCACATAGTAGATGTTCCGTAAATACTGATTAACTGATTGGCCTAAGGTTCTACCTCTCTTCTGTGGTGGAAGACTCAGAAGATCTCTAACTGTTGGAGATGAGCACCTTTGCTTCTGGGCAAGCCTTTGTGTCAGTCACATCTATTTTCTTTGATAAAGACATGTATTTCTTGAATTGGACTTGCTTTTCTTGTCATGACTGTTGCACATGGGCAACAACATGCTTAGTGCTGTGAAAGAGGACACTATCCCCCCTCTGTCCCTACTGTGCCTACAGGCTTACCCGAGACAGTTCTGAGCCCTTATAGGACTCGGGGCAGCCTTTGGCTGGGGTATTGCCATGAGTCCATCAACAAGGGTCCAGTTTTAGCTCTCAGGAGTATGTTTACCTGTTTCTGTCTGGGCTGTGTAGAGTCTAGAGACACAGTGCCAGGCCAGGTTCATTCAGACATACAGGAGGCCCTCAGAGCTCTAATGTGGAGAGTTGTTGGAGCCTGCAGCTGAGTGCATGCTTCTGAGGATACCATGCATTAGGACTAGTGCCTGTGACCTCCACTTCACTGTGTGACCTAGGGCCTCATGGGAGGAACTCTGCAGAGGCCTAAAGGTTTTTAAATTGAGAAGGAAAATCTTCTACCAATAGTTTTTTTTCCTGGAATGAAAACAAAACATAAACGGTTGCTAAAATGATTAAAGAGAGGTGAGAACAGAGTCGAAAGGGAAAGAAAAAAATGACAAAGTAAAGATGTGTTTATTAATTATGGCTCTCTTGAAAACCCCTAGGGGACTCCTAACAGGCACAACCTAAACCCATGCTCTGTGTGTGTGGTATGTTTCACTGTGTATATTGTGGCATGTGTGTGGTGGTGGGATGTGTGAGGTGGGATTTGTTGGTGGGGGGTATGTTGTGTGAAGTATGTGATGTGTGTGTGGTATGAAATGTGTGTCCTGTGTGTTTGTGAGGTGTGTATATGTGGAGTAATCTGATACCAACATAGCGTATTGGCAAACAGCTTATTCTGGAAGCCCCGCCTTGTCTGTTTTCTCTTGGGGCCAAGCAGCCTTGGTGTTAGATCACAGGAGGGAAGTCAGGGTCAGCTCACAGGAAGGCCTGTGCATGGTAGTGGTGGTTGTGGAGTCCTGTATGTTCCAACACTACTTCTTGGAAGGCTTCCGGAAGCTGAGCTGTCCTGCAGATCCACAGGATTGGGGTGGGGGCGGTGCCTTAGATTGTGCGTCCAACGACAGGGTCTGCTTCGTGATGGAGACTTTACTGGTTTTATATCTACACTTAAAAGTATTGAATAAAAACAAATAAGCATGTATTTATGTATACATGTATGTCTGTGTTTTGACTTGATGGACTTTAAGCATTTGGAGTGTTTGAAATAGTCCTTTAACATCTAAACACTAAGATATTCAAATGTAATGACAGACATTTGCCTAATGAGAGCAGTAACATTTTTGTAAAAGGAAAATTTTCAGTGGCTGCCTTAACTTGTACCCCAGCTGTGCCCTGCAGGCTTCATGTAAGGGGACACTATCTGGAGTTGGCTCCAGAAGGGCTTGTCACAGAGCCCTTGCAGTGAGATCTTGACTCAATGTGTTCCTATATGTGACACTGTTACCTGACTGGTCAGGTAGTGAAATGTGTTTAAGCATTTTTTTTTTCTGTTGCTGAGAAAGTATGTATCCAAGTATCTAACTCCTGGCGTTTTTCATGACATTTTAAGAGATTATTGTATTGCCTGATTATATTTAGACTCAGAGTGGAACTGGAGATTAGCCAGTAATACATTTAACTCTGTCCTGCTTTTGGATTCTTCTGAATGCCTTAGGTATTACTTTAGAGAAGACAAACCCAGATAGATTAATGTAATTTGGATAGAATGAATGTGTTGAAGATCAAATTAGAGTTTATGATAGCATCCTGGTCTCCGAACAGCCACTGACCTTGGAGTGGGCTGTGTACTGGAGTGTGTTAGCCAGGGACAGTGCCCTTGCTCATGTGTAGCAGCACTGGGCAAGGGGTCACACTGGGCCCTGCTGTGGTTCTGGTGTTTATTCAACTAAAGTGAACCACTTGTTACTTATGAAATGCACACTCAGATTTCCCTATTGGGTCGTTACCTCAGTGCAGTTGATGAAATTTTAACATTCTACTATGCAGTATGGATTATTTTTGTTTTATTTCCTTGTCACTGTTTTTTCCTTAATTTATTGGGAAATCAACTGGGAAAATGTGAATGTTTATGTATTTGTAAGATTGACTAACAGTAAAACATTTGTGGAT